GAGCTTTTGCCCCCCCCTCTCGAATGGTATGGTTGTTGTGTGCTTTTAAATTGTGTATTGTTCTGTTCGTCTTTTTTATTCCTTTTCTGTACCGCCTTCCCTTGACTTGGATTGTGAGCCGCCCTGAGTCCCCTTGGGGAAAAGGGCGGCATATAAATGCAATAAATTCAATTCAATTCACGCATGTGCCTGGCCTTCCGTGCATGCACTTTGCTCACACGCACACTTTCCATGCATGTGTCCTAAATACATGGCATAGAGCCAGGGCGGGGGCGGCAATGGTGGGTTACAGCTGGTACGCCCCGGTACGGGCATACCGGTGCCTGGTGGGAGCAGTGCTGCGGAGGGCCCACCTGCCTGCCTGCCCGCTCTCTTTACCGGTATTTGACCCTACCAGGCCATTTGTGCATGCATGCGCACCACCGCCCTGCGACACTCCGCCGAGCAGCTGGAGCGTCGCAGGGCGGTGGACGCCCGGCTCCATCACAGCGTACCGGTTGCAATAGGATCCGGAACCCACCCATCCATGATTTCTGCTACTGGTTCGGGTGACCCGGTCTGAACCTGCTGAATACCACCTCCGACCATAATCCTGGCTTAAATGGAACTGCTCATTTTTTCCCAGTAGAACAACTTATGGAACAGGAACATGGGGGGGGGGGTGTTGGGAGGGGGGGGAAGGCAACCATGATGGAAGGCGCTTTGCAGAAATCTAGGATTTCTGTCCTGTATAAATAGGAAGAAGGCTGGAATCTTTTTCTGATTTGCGTCTGAGCAAAAATCACACTTTTTCAGCAGCACCTCCCACGAAATAGGTTGGCTATTCACTTCCAGATTTCCAGTCAAAGTACCCATTGATTATCTTGGCTGAAATGCTGGGTGCTGAACTCCTGCATGTCCAGAGATTTGGTGAAGGCTGCTATTTACCATCGTTTTTCCAGACCTGGAACTGCATACAAGTTAAAAGTACTTACGAAAGTCATTTACATTCAACCCACCAGGGAAGAAATGGCTTGCTTGCAGTACATAAGAATCTTGCTACATTTAGAATGGGGAAAATTAAAATGCTCAGCTGGAAACCTTCCATATCTGCTATGCCATAGCTCTTTTTAAATGTTTCCTACATCCAAAATGATTAATGGGAATTTCCAGTGAAGCCTGACAATGGTTACAGTAAGTCTGCTGGGTGAAGACTGCCATCTAGTGGCTTTTTAAAGACCCTCCATCTGGGCCCGAGGAGGTCTTGATTTACTATATATTTTCTTCTCCCTGACACCTTAGGTAAAGGTTCCCCTCGGACATATGTGCTAGCTATTCCTGACTCTAGGGGGCAGTGCTCATCTGTTTCAAAGCCGAAGAGCCAGCGCTGTCCAAAGACGTCTCCGTGATCATGTGGCCGGCATGACTAAATGCCAAAGGCGNCTTCCCACCAAAGGTGGTTCCTATTTTCCTACTTGCATTTTTTACGTGCTTTCGAACTGCTAGGTTGGCAGAAGCTGGGACAAGTAGCGGGAGGTCACTCCGTTACACGGTGTTAGGGATTCAAACCGCCGACCTTTCTGATTGACAAGCTCAGCATCTTAGCCACTGAGCCACCCCGACCCTAATGCTACAGCTAGGGTGTGTCAAATTTTTCCACCTTTAATTTCCAAACATTAGGGGATGCTCAAAAGTTGTGACATACCTTGGGGACTGTTTAAAAGATATTTTGGTTACTTTAATATAATTTAGGTAGCACAGAATTCTTTATTGGCCAAGTGTGATCAGACACACGAGGAATTCGTCTTTGATGCATAAGCTCTCAGCGTACATCCAAAATACACTCATCATGAATCGTAAGATACAATGCTTAATGATAGTCGTAGGATACTAAATAAGCAATCAAAAATCATACTAGGAAACTAAATAAAACGATGTAAATCATAAAGATACAAGCAACAAGGTTATAGTCATAAGTAGGAGGAGGTAAGTAACAGGGAGGATGAAAAGAATAATAGTAGTACAGTCTTAGTAAATAGTTTGACAGTGTGGTGAGAATTTAGTTGTTTAGCAGAATGAGGGCATGGGGGGAAAACTTGCTGACTGCCGGCTGACTACAATTTGGCAGTTCGAATCTCACCAGGCTCAAGGTTGACTCATCCTTCCAAGGTGGGTAAAATGAGGACCAAAGATTGTTGGGGGCAAATATGGTGACTCTATAAAACGCTTAGAAAGGGCTGGTAAGGCGCTATGAAGCAGTAGGTGAGTCTAAGTGCTAATCTGTCTTACATTGAAGAGAGCTTCTCCCAGGGATTACACTGCAAATTGCAGAAATTGTGCAAAGTGGGGTGGGGGAGATGCAGCTGCTTTTAGAAGTTGCAGACAAATGCTCCATTAGCAGCCCCCCCCCCCCATGAGTTTTCACCATCACAACCAAGGTGCTGCCAATCTGGATTATCTCCAGCAGCCATCCCCAACCCGTGGATGAGTTGGAATTTTGGTTTCCAGTGCCCCTGGCAGCATGAGGAATGCCAAGTTGTTGAGGAAGTATTGGGCTTCCAGTCAAACACAGCTGGAGGACAGCAGATGGGGAAGGCCGTTTGAAATCGAGAAGAAGCTTGCAATCAGGGCATGCAATCAGATTACTTGCATGATACCATTGTGGTCTGCTAGTGGTCAGCAGAGCTGGCAGCAGAGTCAGACAGTGAGGAGGTTGGGGAGGAATATGGGCCAGTCCTGGAGTCTGGGGAAGGCTCTGATGAGGGCTCTGTGTCGGAGGCAGAGACAGGGCCAGAGCCGTATGCCAGTTATCAGCTGCCTTCACAGTCAGACATCAGTGAGGCAGACGAACTAGCTGCAGCCTGTTCCCAGTGTGCGCATGCACAGAGTTGCCAGACGAAGGGAACAGCCAAAGAACAGGAGTCAACTTGGGAATAAGGCCACAGGTGGACTGTGAATGGCCCCTCCCAGAGGAAATAAAAGAGGAGCGAAAGGGGAGTGGAGTTTGCTGGAGACAATTAGCTCGCTTAATTGGTTCTTGACTCTCCGAGACTCCTTGCTAGGTTTTGCAGATATCGGCTTGTCAACTCTCCAAGCCAGATAAGGTCTGTGACTATAAATCCTCCCTTGAAAGACTTTGCTGGATGTGAATGAGCAGAATTCACGGCAAATTAATAAAAGGAAGTTTTTTTGTCAGGACAAGGAGTTTGCTTCATGCTCTTGGGAAGACTAGTTCAGAACAGATACGCCCGATCCCATTTAAGTGACATCACTCCCTCACTGTGGCCCTTGATAAATGCAGGAGTTCAGCCAATAAAGGCTCCCTCTCACCCGAAGAATGACTACAAAGAAACGGGAAGCGCTTACCAGCCGCCCAGGTCCCAGGCCTTTCACCACAACCCGTACGTGGTACACGCCCTTTTTAGCTGCTTTCTGGACAGGGAAAGAGAAGAAAGAAGCATGTTATGCAATGAACCAAAGAGTATAATGACCGCTATTCCAACCTTCCACCTAGATCCCATTTGCTCTTTCCTCTGAACAGGAGCTTCTACTCAGTGGGACAAAGACCGCTATTTTCTTCGGAACAAAAGGCATTTATTGATTTCATGATGCTTTCTTTGTTGAGAGCTGCTCAGAGTTCAGGCGGCATCGGCGTTTGATGAACTATCTGCTCACGGCAATGTAAAACCGCAGCTGCCACTTCTTTGGCTGGTATTGGCCTCCGTAGGCAGAAAGACTTTTTTTTGGTATAGCACCCGGTGGGCCAATAACCACCGAGACCCCCCCGAGAGCCTGTTTATGCCGTAATCCTTCAACTTGGATTTTGAGATCTTGATACTTTGCGATCTGTTTATCCTCATCAGCACCACAATCAGAGCGGAATTTCACATTTTGTTACCACCGGTTCACCACGTACATCCTTTTCACCCTCAAAACCTGGCTGTTCCAACAGGCCTGGGGCTAAAGAGCTTTTGCCCCCCCCCCCCCTCTCGAATGGTATGGTTGTTGTGTGCTTTTA